ATTCCTTGAGCAAATAATCTGAGGTGATAACTGCGTTTCATCAGCGATGTTTCTGATAAGGAGCTTACGAGGTGGATGCATAATTCGGCAGAACAGCTGTTGTAGGCTACCTGCAGAGATTTTCATCCACCTTTTTTTGTCAGCACATAATGCGCGTTATGCCTGCAGACAGGTAGTTGGGCTGTAACTAGGGTAATGGTTTAGTTAAGGTGAGAAATTAGGTGTGTGAGAGCCGCCTCTGAGTTTGTTTGGTGGATTAGAATTTTCCAAAAAAGGTAGTACAGTTCAATAAGAAACATAAAATAAGATCCTTATAATAAACGTTCAATAAGATCTGACTTGAGTAGTTATCATTGCACAGTGTCCAGCAGAAAACCGTATATTGCACATATTAGGAAAGTATTTCACATTGCCACCCCTAATTACTGTGACATGCCAGAGAGGTTATCATGCTGAGGCGATCTCAGAGTTCAGTAGCTTTATGGCTCTTTGGAAGAAGCTGCTTAACTGTCTGCCCATTGTTGTCTTTACAGGTGCCAGAGGAGCTGATTGCAGAACCCTCCAGATGTGATTAGCTGTTTCCAGCTCTTCAGGAGAGAACAGCTGCAGCTTCCAGCTCTTCCGCTCCTGCTTCTCTTTTTACTCACAACACCTGAACACTACTGACGTGAAATTATGACACTGGGTTCTTATCAACAGATTCTATCATTATAATAACTCTCAACACATTTCAAGTCATACAAAACTACTTTTACATTTGTAACCTTTTAACATTGATGTTTTCAGGAATGCAAGACAAGAGTTTAATTTATTAAACTATTGCTTTTGTATTAGGAATACTTTGTTATAAAGTGTATCAAACTAATTTCCAAGGTTGCTGAAAAAGTGGTCATAAACGAACTAACAGATCACATTAACAGTTGCAACCCTGGTCTAACCTCAGTCCAGTTTGGATTTAGAAAACTTCACTCCACAGAAACAGCAGTTCTATACTTAACAGAGCAAATTAGATCTGTTCTTGATAAAGGAGGAGTTGTGGGAGCTGTGTTTCTGGACTTAAGTAAGGCCTTTGACACAGTTAATCACAATGTCCTCATGTCTCGACTCACTAGCTTCAATCTTTCGTCCAAAACACTTGCATGGATTTCGTCTTACCTATCCAATAGAAGGCAGTGTGTAAAAATCAATGACACGTGCTCCAGCTCCTTGGGGTACACAATGGGTGTGCCTCAGGGATCTGTGTTAGGCCCACTACTCTTTAGCTTATACATTAATAACCTACCTCAGCATTGTCATGATGTAGAGGTACAACTCTATGCTGACGATACAGTTTTGTACACCCATGCAACATCAGCTCAACAAGCTGCTACTAAATTAACCAACGCACTGGTTGGATTGGCCGAGTGGTTAGACCAATCCTGCCTAACCTTGAATATAGGTAAGACGAAAGGCATGTTCTTTTCCAAAGCTAAACTAAACACCCTAGACATAAACATCTGCTTTAAAGGTGAACAGATTGAGACTGTTACTGAAATTAAATATCTTGGAGTGCTGCTTGATCCAAACCTGACTTTCAAAAAACACATTAAGATAATGACAAAAATTATTAAATACAATTTGAAAAATTATAGATGGATTAGATCCTCTCTATCAATAGAGGCTGCTAAGATATTCTTACATGCCCTTATTTTTTCACACATCGCATATTGTATTACCTGCTGGGGGCAGGCTACCCAAACAACAATTAGGCCCTTAGAATCTCTGTACAAACAGGGCTTGAAAATTCTAGACAAAAAGCCACTCAGGTACCATCACTGTGAAATACTACATAAGTACAATCTACTAACTTTTGAAAATTTTAGAATATTCTCAAATTTATGCACAGTTTATAAAATCTTAAAAGGTCTTGCCCCCACCTGTTTGCGTGAGTTTGTCTGTTATCGTGGTTCTGTGAGGACAACTAGAATAGTTTCCGTATATAGCTGCACTGTACCCTTTCGCTATTCAGCATTTGGGCAGGCAGCCTTTTCTATCAAAGCTGTGAAACAATGGAACACAATTTCAGATGATTTAAAAACTTGTGACTTGTTTGGGGTCTTTAAAGATAACTTAAAAAAACATCTAAAACTTTCACAACAATGCACCCACCATTTTGTCAGTGGGTAATATAATTTTTTCCTTCACTCACATTCACCTTCTTATTGTAGGGTTGACGTAAGGGTTGAGAAGGGGTTGGGTGTTGGCGTACCATTGTATGTCGTGATTGTGGTGTGTGTGTGTGTGTGTGTGTGTGTGTGTGTGTGTGTGTGTGCGCCAGTGAAGGGCATTAAGTACATGATATATGCTCTTAAACAATGTCTGATGTTTTATGTTTGATATGTCGTGTACTTTTGAATAATGTTGATATTTATATTGTATGTATTTGTATTTATTTGTATTTGGGGACTGCAGATGTAAATTAGCCTAAGGCTAACTCTGGTGTAATGCATCAAATGTTTACATTTATGTTATTAATTGCACATGGTCCCTTCTAAATAAAAATCAATCAATCAATTATACATAATAAAATCATTCTTCATTCATCATCAGTTTTATATTTTAATTTTGTGATCTTAACAATATATTATAGTTAACAGCTGTAAATGAAAATATTAAGATGTTATTTATAGGCAAACATTTTACCAATGTTAGTAGAAAGTAAAAAATGAAAGGTTGATGTTATCTACTGTTTTATTTTGATATTTCTTTAAGAGACAAATGTGACATTGACTGAGAAGTTACTCTGTAGTGAAAAACAAAGAATTATCTGCACACTGAATAGTTTTGAAGCCTTGTAGGAGGTGTCATTTATTGCGACCTCTGAGAAGGTCTTGTGTGGTTTACATTGTATAGACTCACCTATTTACTACATGTATGCATTCGGTCAGCTCTGAGACCTCAGAGTTTGCAAGGTCACAATAAAAATCATTTAGTGGGATTCATTTTCACTTTTTAACTTATACTAGACTGATGTTCTTAAGCAAGAGTTTTAATGTTTCATGTTTTATCTGTGGTATAAGTTTAGCTTTTTCAGTAAGTAGTAAAGACAGGGAGTGCTAATATATATAGAATTTATTACAAGTGAACCATAAACCATATATTTTTTTAAATGGATCTATGATACAAATATGGACAATATTTAAAAGTCAAAGTAAACAGAAGGAGAGAAGGCCTTTCCACGTCTGTCCACCCCATCAGCACAATGAGGACTCCCAGGTCTCTGCAGCTCTACACCAGGTGGGACATCTGATCCACAGTGTGACTCTGGGAGGAAAATGTGTAATAAATTCTTCAGGTGATAAAAATATAAAGTAAATACAGATGATTCTTTAATAAATATAATATTGTGTTAAGTTAATTTTCTAATGTAATTTAATTCAAAAAGTGAATCTTTGATATATTCTAGATTCATTACAAGTGAAACATTTCAAAGCCATTGGTTTTCATCTTGATGATTACGGTTTACAGCTCATGGAAATAAAAACTCCACTATCTCAAAATGTATTAAAATTTTAGAATAAATAAATTTCTGTATTATAAATTATACAGAAATGTCAACTGGAGAAGAGCTCTCTAATCAATTAATTAACTCAAAACACCTGCAAAGGTTTCTGAAGCTTTTAATCTCTGTCTGGTTCTGGTGCTCACAATGAACTTTTCCTCAGTATTCTAATTTTTTGAGATGGTACTCTAAAAGATGCCTCAGTGTTTTAATGTTGATAGCACTATTATGTCACACACATGGGAGAAAATAGAACAAGGGAGATAGTCTTTAAATGTTTTGTGTTGTCCTTTTAAGACAATTTTATATCAGCTGTCAAATGTCCAGTAGCCAAGACTAGCAACATTATTTTAGACTCAAAGTTTAAGCTTTGAGTAGCAGATGTGGAGGCCTCAACAAGAATCTTGTGACAAATATAAAAAGTACCTTTCTCTCTCTCAAGTGTCCTATTCCAGACAATAATCTGTTACTCAAAATAGCGGTGTGGGGAATTAATTAACATGATAGCAGCCATTGATAACGTTTTACAAGTTATATAGCTTCCATCATGTAACTAAGGACTCTACCGCTAGCTTATTACCTTTATTAAAAGTAACATTATTACAAGTGTTTTATTCATTCATTCATTCTTGCATATATTTCCGCATTTATTTATTTATTCTTTTATTCATGAATGGATTCTTCTGGCACTTAAGGAGTTCCATACTGTTCAAGCACACAGCTTTTGACAGTTAACTATTTCTCCCTCTGAGATGGACTGGCGACCTGTCCAGGGTGTACCCCGCCTTTCGCCCTATGTAAACTGGGATTCGCTGCAGCCCCCCGCAACCCTGTACGCAGGATAAGCGGTTGACGATGGATGGATGGCTATTTCCCCCTTGTGTCTAATAATATTATTGCAACCACACAGTCTATGGTCGTAACAAACATCCAACATGAAAAATATAGGGAAAGCTACTTTCATTGTTGTTAGTTTTACTCTTAAACAAAGCCAAGTGGTTCCTGACCTTGACCTAGGCTAAACAGTAGTAGTTTTATGTGGGTATGGATTAAGTAAAATATCATCATCATTTGGCTTCCATTACTTCCATTGCTTTTCACAGCTGGAATAGTATTTATCAGCAAATCACATCGGAAAATACTATATTACCACATTTTGAGTCTGACATTTAAAATGACTGGCAGCCATGAGAAAGAAACAGCTGCAAGAATGAAATACACACTATCTCGCCAGGTCTTCAGGAGACATCCAACTGGCCACTTCTCACTGCCAAATATATTTGAGGGTATCATCTGATGAGCCTTGGGGAAAACATGTCATCACTTTCAAGTTCAGCAGTTTATTAGGTGTGGTTGGTGTCAGGACACGTCCAAGATTTAAGAGTGTCTGGACAAGCCAAGCACAGCCCTCTCAGACATCTTCATACTTCGGAGATCAGAGATAGCTATGCCGGTCATATCATATTCAAAATTATTTATTGATCTGTTTTTTTCAAAAGTATGTGAGAACAAGTGCTATCTCTTAAAAAAACATTATCTTGAAACTGATGCTTTTTCCATATCAATCAGCACATCATTTTAGCGACATTCAGTGCCAAATTCACAGGTAAGTGGAGATGGAGACTCGATAGCACTGTAACATATGTTATCGCATCATTCCACTTCCAAATAGGGTTTCAAATGGATATTTACACTCTAAGCAATAGTAAGTAATTTCTAAAAAGCATTAACACACACACAGGAATTACAGGGGAAACCATGATCGGTCACATATTTGAGTCATCTGCATTGTTCGCCTTGTACCAGGAGTTACATTTGGGTCACACTTCATTTGGACAGCCAATGCCTCTGCTCAAGTTAGTCACTCACATCCCGTTCCTACTCAAAATATTGGCTGATAATCCAGGTATTCAAACCAGCAATCCACTGCTCACAAAGTGACCATAGAATGCAGCACATGAGATACATCTCTTCATATCACAACCATATCCATTAGGGAAATCTATGCTTCTAGAATAGGTGAAACAAAACCAACAAATTATGATCTTAATGAAAAACAACAGCATTAAAAAATACATGTTAACAAGACGAATACACATAAACAGTGCCTGTGGTGTCAAACAAACACAGTGGATGTAAATAGGCTTTTACGTCCCCCACAGAATCACACAGCTGACTGGTGCAGCCAGTTGTTTAGGACATCTGCAAGGTGCAAAAATCATGTAGACAAAGCAACATTCAAAACCTCTGCAGCACAATAACTAATCTTATAAGAAAGATACTGTTAACAAATATTCAGCATTGCATAGGTACGGTTTGCCAGAAAGTATGAGAAAGCATTTAAAACATGGAAAGGGGTAATATGGTCTGATGACCATAAAACAAGTTTTTTGGTCATCATACTAAACATATGGATGATGAACAACACAACCCAGACATTACCAGAAGTGCACTGTATCTGCAATATTGCCTGGTGGTGGTAGCATCATGCTGAGGCAACGCTCAAAAAAACCTTGCTGCAATCTGTAAGTTAACTGTAACATAAGGGAAATTGTCCAATAATCCAGAACATAAAACTAAAACTACCCAGAATGTATATCATAAATGAAAGACAGTAATTGCTGCCACATGTGCCTCTAATAATTGCTTGTAATCACTTTGTGTTTTATGTTTGTGCTGAACTCAAATCAGTTTATGGAGATTTGTTTTACACTTCGGCATTAAGGTCTCTTTCTGTTGATTAGGCATCAGAAATGCCTAACTACATCCACTGTAATACAATGTTGTAAAACACCAAAAATCCAAGGGGGTGAAAACATTTTATAGGCACTGCACCTCATAAAATAAATCATGATAATTACATTAGATCCAACTAGATATATAACTCAAATAATTATTTTATGAATGACCAGACATTCAAACAAAGCATTTTGACATTTGAAAAGTCTCGGATGAAAATGTCACACATGTCCATAATACATAACATTCGACTTATTTGGTATGGCATAATTAATCCCTGCCCAGCACACCTTTGGGATGTGTTAACTTTTCAGAAACAATTATAGATAGTCCTCCATTGGTGGTGCTGAGCACATATCTTCCACACATAATCCTTAGTTCTCAGATTCCAAAGAAATGTCTTTTAATATTCGCCGCTCCTTACGAACACGCATTCTCTCTTTGAAGTCCTCCAACTCTTTCCTCTGAAAATAAATATGGCACAGTCATTATTAAAATCAATTTTAAGTCATACTAAAACATAGAGCCTTTTTGATTTTACTTGACTTTTAAATTTCTTTGAAAAATGTTAAAATGTTTGTTTTTACTATAAATTATTTTTATTATTATTAGCAGAAGCATTATATTGTGCTGTACAGCAGTAGTTCCTTTTTTAAAACCACTGTTCTATATGATTATGTTAAAATAAAAAAAATCAGCAAAGGAAGTTTCTCTGTTAATACAACAATTTATGGTTTCAGGGTTGAGTCATGATAGAAAGAATCATTGTAGGATTATTAGAATTAGACCATTCTTAAAAAAAACATTTAAGTTTGAACATGGGCTGTCATTATGCCATGAATTTTGTATGATTGATTTTGTATGATAAATATTAAAATGATAAAAGCAGTATCACAAGGAAGAGTTCTGGTAACCTCTATGTGGTGTACTGTGCCATCTATCTGTTGGTTTCAGAATGACAGTGAGGAAATAATATGGGTCTTGCGGTTAAAAAGTATAGAGAGCAAAATGAAAAATCATCACTATATTTAGGCTCACTACCACATTTTTTGTTGCAGTGAGCATTGAGAGTGTAGTCAGTACTACGCACCTTTGTGGTTTTATATAATATTTTTAGTTGTGGTTTTATTTTTCATGGACAGTGTGGACATTATAGAAACATGAGCTCTGTGCACTTACATGCATTCCCTCGTCAGGGGGGAAGATCTCTCTCTGGATACCATAAAAGATGCCACCATAGTACATAGAAAGAGACATTTGTTATTACATGAACACTGAACCTCGACGAATGGATTATTATGCATGATCAAAAATATAAATGGCGCTACTGACCTTTCTCTTTACTATGTACTCTTCAAAGTACTCTGCTTGATTTGAGATCCAGAACATGGTCACAGGAAAGGACAGATACAGCATCATCTGCTCAAAACAAAAAGACCAGCCAGTGAGTGACTGTGGGAAAAGGTTACATCATGATCACAGTTAGCATAAAGATAATGATTAGCTAGACCACGAGACCTAGGCCGATTTGTACGATTTTTAAACCTTTAGACCAATACATATTAAATGCCCACCTAACATGTTTAATACTTACTCTAAACATTTCTATTTTAACACCCATTTTCACATCGACTGTGGGTCTACAACAGTGAAAGCTTATTTAAACTCCAACCATCGCCGAAGACCTTCACACTACTTCCGGGTTTATGGGAGGACCAAACGCTTTAAAGCCACGACGCATGCGCGGGGGTCATCAGAAATAAAAATTATTTATATATCACCGTTGAAAACAGACAAACGTGGCATTTTGATCGTATGCATTTTTTGTTTTTTGCTTAAATAAAAATCGGACAGGCTTACTTCTGTTTCGCAGATGACTTTCGGTTTAATAGAGGCATTTTGATTTGTCGTCCACTGACGGGCGCTGCAAGCCACTGATTTTGTCCAGATGTGTCACTTTCTCTTCATTTAAGATACATTTTCTTAAACTTCCTCCAAAGACCCGTACAGTGGATGTTACCAACTTACAGCCATCTCAGTCTGGTGAGTGAGTTGACAGTAGCCCTGTCTTTCAAATTTTAAAATCTTTAAAGAGAGATCTGTTTCTTTCTTGTTTTTCTTCACTCTCGAAGCTTCTTGGGGCAGAGGGGACACATTTGGGAACAAGGGTAGAAGCTGTGATTTGTTTAAAGTTAGAAGAACAAAATAGTGAGGACAAATGATGTTGTGTTAGCGGTAGCTGCTTTTCTGTAGTTTTATATTACATATGTCAAATGTAATATGCTCTGAGAAGTTTGCTAGACTGAAATTTAAGTTTAGCTTGTGACCTTTGCACTGTGCAGTACATTTGTAACTGTAACCCATATTTCCCCATTCTAAAAGCTAGAATGTTTACGGTTTACTCAAAGTTTTGCACATTATCCCTGTGCACAGATATTATATCTCCTCTCGGATGTCGCTAAAGTTGCAGTCCGTGACACGCGCTTTACGTCCACAACGAAAGACCTACGCGTGACGTCATCGACAACGAGAGGTGTTCAGGATCCTCGGAGAGAAAGATCCCGCGCGCCCTGGCAACCTGATAAACCCAGGTAAACGCCGTTGTTTCAAACATTATTATGCCAGTCTTGTTGACTCAGTGAACCGAATGAGTAGACCGCAAGATACACGGTAACAGAGGCGTAAAGGCTTGAGAGGTAGCGCTGATGCCCGGCGCCCACCGAGACCGTCCACTTACACAGCGGCCTGCTCTGGCTAACTAGCTTGCTAGCTAAAGCTAGTTGGCAGTTGTCTATCAAAAGACACAATAACCGCACCTACATTGTGTGTTTATGTGACATCCCTTGCCTGTCTCACCCATTTTTGGCCACAATTACGCTACAAATAGCACACCAAATATTGCTACGACCACCGTGTTGGGCATCTATTGCTAGTTTGCTCGTCGAGTGTCTTGTGTTGTGGGAGACGGTGACGCCGTCACGGTGATGATGGCGCACACTCAGACTGAGGCTATTTGATGAGAAAGCAGTCACTGAACCAGATATCACAAAATAGAACTGTAATGTTCACTGTTTAAAGCTCGCTGCCATGATACTGGAAAGAAAATATCTGTCTTCGCAACTTACGCTCTCAGTTCTACCGTGCATGGCAGAAACAGTCATTACGAAACCCAGGGAATAATGTAACGTTTTGCCCTGTGGCCTAACGTCAGGATCTTGGTTCCTCGACGATGGTCGCTCGCCAGCAGTCATTACTTTGCAATTTATCGTTTTATCCACCACACCTGGTAATAGTCACTATCCCAGACAAATGTGTTTGAGTCTGTGGTGTTCAGGTGAATGATATGGCAGGGTAGTATAAACACAAAGCAGTGGCATTCAGCCGACTTGCTGTTCAAACAGATTACTCATGTAGAGTAGGCCCGTTGACTAGCATACTATCACTGCTGTTTTCATTGTAAGGAGGGATGTCGATTTTACAGGTGTGAAACGTGTGATTTCATTTTAATGGTTGAACATTGCTTTAGTAGTTGGAAGCCCAATGTGTAACAACATACAGATCTCTCTAATGACAGATACTAGCCTACTTGCAATCACATGCTTGTTTGGATATGCTTATTTACCTCAAGATATACAAAGACTGAAGCAGTTTAAAGCTCTAGGACTACTGTTACATTTGCATTTTCTTTGACGTCTTCCATAAACAACATTTAGCAATAGTTTGTTACCCAGACCTGAATATGTTGAAAATTTAATGAATACCATGGGTCAGATTTGTGTGTCACTGGTTAGGTATTAAAGTGTTATCACTGTCTACACTTTTTATTTATGTGTGTAAATAAAGAGAATGATTTGGGTCAAAGGGCATACAGTTACCAGGGAAGCAGTAAATCAAACAAGCTCAAGAGGACTGAGCTATTAATCACATTAATGCAAATGGATATTCCTAGTTGAACTTGATCAGCTACACTATACGTTTGTAAATGAAGATTGGGCCAAAGTGCTGGCAGATACCAGGTAGGGTTATGGTTCACATAGCTGAACTATTAATTACATACATCAAAATACCAGTATGTAATTGTTGTTGGATTTTCATTTGAAATTATAAACCACCCGGAACATTTCAGGATGTCTAAAGATTGCTGGCAAACATGCATGTGTGCTGCTTAATGTACAGACTTAGGTCTGGTTGGGATTGTGGTCATTATCACATCTTATCCTAAAGATCATACTTTTCTTGCCCCTGTATTTTTTTTTTTCTTCTCATTTTTGAAATTCCTTTTTTTGGTTTTTCTCTCTCTGGTTTAGTTGCCATGGTAACTCCATCCTTGGCCTAGTTGTGAATGACCTCTGAATGAAAAGGAGAGTGTGATCAGGTAACAAATGAGCGAGCAAACAAAATCTATTATCCTGTTTGCGAGTGTATGTGCTTCACTTATACCTTTTGAGTAATTGACACAAGTGTCATGGGGCTTACTACAACCATGTTACTGCTGCTACTGCTGGTTTCTCTGCAGCCACACTGAAAACAGTGTCTTTTTGTCATACTGTGTGGCATGTTGGAATGTAATAGACAACATTGACTTTTTTTTTTTATTGTTTTAAGATTATCAATAATTTCTGTTCCTTTTTTCAGCTAATGACTATGTTTTCATTTATTTTCTAATACCATTAACGGTGATCTGCTTTCAAGGCCCATATTGATCAAGGCTTTAATGTCATTAGAATAATCAGCCAATCTAACACCAATCACTGGTTTATGTTCCTCATCACTTTTACAGAAAGCGTTTGTCAGCAGTCTTTTCTGTCACCCTTATTTTATCATTTTCAGAGGTTGATTACCGTAGTCCATAATATGGCAGACCACTGACAGAAAAGTCACACTGTGGTTTGAAAACATAAAAAAAATGTGATGCTCAATATAATCATCCTGTGTTCTCAATAAATATCATACATAGGCTGTCTAACAAAATTAATTTAAAAACATATTACACATGAATAATGAACATAATGATTGTTGGTGGGCTTTTAAATAAAATATTTTATTTGTACAGATTATTTGTTGGAGATTTATTTGGAGCAAACATTGACACAGTCCAGTCATACTCTACATAAATCGTGTCACAAACCGTCTCCACGTCACAATGTTTTATCAACAATGTCCGTCATCCATTGCTGATTTAGACATTAGCTGAATAAATGTGCTGAGTTTTACCAGGGCGTCTGGAACAGGGACTGAACTTTTCCTGGGTTTTACTCAGAGTTAATTATGCAACAAACCCACTCATGAGGTAGGCCCAGGAACATCTTGTGTATTGGAGTTGCTGGTTTGGGCAGTGAAAACACTTACACACATCTTAAGTTGATATGACAAACTTGTTTGCAAATATTGTCACTCATCTGAAGTCTAATATTTACTCTCCTTTTTAACTATGTTTTTGGTCTCTGCCAACTCCCCAGGGAAATATCTGCCGTTTTGCTCCGTTTGCCAGCTAGTCAGTATATATTGATGCACAGTATTGAATGCTGTACAGCTCAAATATTAAGGTTGGAGGTGCAAGTTTTGAAAATGTATTATCAGTCACAATTTCAGTAATTCTGCACTTTTAGACTGGAAAATTTCAAAACAAGTCCTGAATAGAGTTAAAGGTGTAGGGTGGATTAAGATTAGGAAAACAAGAGTTATATTATACTAGTATACACTAGTGTAGTGTGGAGTGTAAAATACATTTCTGGATTGCTAGGGGTCGCTGTGTCTACATGGCTGAAAGAAAAAATAAGTTGAAAGGTCACCATAATTGTGAAGATGCATAGAATGTAGGGCAGTGTGATATGGACCAAAAAGTTATATCCCAGTACTTTTAGGCTGAATAGCGATATAAAATATATACCAGTATTTTCTGCTAACTGGGCTGCCATCAGTAGTAGTAGGCTACATTATATAAAGTGGCCCAAAAAAATCAGAACTTGTCTTATGGACTTTTCTTCCCGCGATTCAGTTCACAGCAGCATCTGCGCTGCATGTTGAGGAGGCGTGTGACGACGTAGCCTTTCAAAACAAAACCAACATGGTAGCTAAAGCCTAGTTCACACTACACGATTTGTAGCCCGATTTGCCACTCTGCAAGCTCGGTGACTGTCAGGCTGTGATCGGGGGTAAATCAGCGGTCTCCAGTCGTTATGTGTGAACTACACAATGACTCATCAAAACGGCTCCCCGACACATTTCTGACACATTGCTGATGTCTGCCAGATATCTAGCATGCCAAATATCTGGAGGAGTTGGCCAACTCGACATCAGCATCCAGCTAATGAGAGCAAGCAGCTGGCAGAAAAGGAAGCTACTTTTCACCGCAAACCATTTTTTACTCACCTCCGGCTCTCTCTGTAGCACAGACAAGCCCTGCTACCTGCGAGTGCTAATCCATTCTTTCACCCATATTCTTTGTCTTTATAATAACAAACCACAGCTGTTTCATGTGTAGTTTCGTGTCATTTCCCATTTCATGTGTTTTCTTGACACAACGTGGTTTGGAGACCAGCATCAGGTGACCGAGTCCTTGTCAGCTTGTGTAGTGTGTGATAACCCTGTCACCGATCAGTCACATAGTGTGAACGCCACAGCGACTTCAAGACTCAAGTTTTGTAGAGTGAATGGCATGGCCATCAGCCGACACTAAAAGTTGTGTAGTTTGTACTAAGCAGTACAAAGGAGTGACATCTGCACTGGTGTGTTCACTGTCACTTTACCTGGTCCACGCTTGTAAAATCACCACTGTGTCCGTGACTTGTAATGTAATAACTCTGTTTCTCAGAGAAATATTACAATGTGTCGCCAAATATACCTGGGCGTGCCGCTGAAGTAAAGTGTATGTGTGGGGAAACACTGACTAAACCGTAGTTCTTCTTTTTACGAGCCAGTTCTTCAGCAATGTCGACCAGCACTGTGTCTCACTCCATAGCCTGTGTTTGATTTTGTTACTGTATTATTGTATAAGTAAGCACATCGTGAGCATTGTACAATCCAGAGTCAAATTCCTTGTATGTGTTCACATACCTGGCAAATAAAGCTGATTCTGATGTTGTTAGAGAGTTTGTGAGCTAGGGGGGCTGCGCACAGACAGAGGGAGGGGCAGGGTTGCGAGGTGAGGGGGAGAGAGGGGCAAACGCTGGCAGGACTTTACGGAAACATATTAATTAACTCAACATCAAACTATATCGGTATAAACGGAATAGTATAATTTTATATCTCTTTTGAAATTATATCGGTATACCTATATAACAGCATGCTAACCTCGACAGCCCAGCTGTATTCTAACATTAACATAGCTCTCCTTATTAGCTAGGCTTCTTACATGCTTGCTAATAACTTTTTTCAAGGTGGGTCTCTGACATTGACAGCGTTGTGTTGGACTGATTTGTGCAGTTGTGTATGAGAGAGGGAGGGAGCGAGCGAGAGGAGTCAGCAAGCACAGTGGATTCTTGCAGATGGCATTAGGAGCAGTAGGAGGAGCAAATATGACAGTTATTTTTTATAAATGTTACCTAGTGAACTTTTAATGGGGTACTCCACTGAACTTGTACAGTTGGAGGACTCGTAAGATAAATGAGTCTTTATTATGTGTCAAGCTTTCTGTCATTACACCCTCCTGCCTTCGAAATGCCCACTTCTTCCAAACACAGGCTTTCTATTAATTTTTAAGTCCCAAGCCAAGTTGATAAAAATAACCCTGATGATAACATCAACGTTAACAAACTGTACTTAATGGGTAAAATCAGTGAGTGCCCTTTAAATTGGCATGACACATTCACTTTCCTGGATCTAGTAAGAAGACTGACCTTGGTTAAGTGTAGTCCAGGAGTTTTCAAAGTCTGAGACAGAGCCACTGAATAAGTTTGTATCTTTCAATATTGAAGAAAAGATTTGTGAAATGCTTGGATTGTGATTTTCAGATTGTTCAATGATAACAAATTATGTGGGTGTAAAAAGTAATATTTTATAATGACAGAAGTGTTCTTCGTTAGATTCAGATAATTCTCATATAACAAAAAAGGCTTTGGTTATTATTGCTACTAAGTACCCTCTTCTTTGTATTGTTTTTCCCAATGCATAACTAACTACACAAGTGTATGCTACACCATGTGAAGTTGGCAAATTGCCTGTACCCTGTTTTCTCCACTCCAGGTCCCTGTAGATTTCGGCTGCTCCGGTGCTCTGATGATTAATGGAAGTGCCCTCAGACTTCTTCGCAGAGTCTCATCTCTGTGTGCACTGCTGCCTCTCTGTCTGACCCAACCCCCAGTCTAAATGCAATACTCTCTTTTGCTTTCCCCCTTCCTCTTGCTAGTTATCATCCCTCCCTCTTTCCCTGTGTCTGAATATGATCTCCCCCCATCCTTCCAGTGACAGGGCCATCAGTTTGGCCTCCTCTGAATTGCTGTAGGTTGGAGCTTTGTCATTCTAGCAGCTGCTGTATTGTCTTTGAGAATGGTGCATATGGCACGTGGACAGGGAAGTGGGTCTGTGAGGACCACGTCAATGTCTGGCTGCAGCACCAATAAGCTGCTGCTTGTTTCATTTGGGAAAACTGCCATTATGCATTGCACTCACCAGTCACCTGACAAGTATACAGTGCACAGAGTGGCTCTTTACTCGCTTGATCTCATGGGAATTTGACATATGACTAACTTTGAAACTGTGTGGGTGTGTACATTTTTTGCATGCACATGCGACTTAAGATTGAATGAGAGGTGAGAGGTCAGCGATCAACTTGCCTCTGGTAGTGTAGAATACGATTTGTGGTTGATTTGATAAACTGTGGTGTGCACTCAATGTAATGTTTTATGGATTAAGGCAGAGGATTTAAAAGTGGGAGGCAGGCCCTCCTCATGGGGCTCCACCGGTAGGCTCAGTAAATGGAAATGTAAAAAATATTAAGTTACCTATTACATTATTAGTAGTTATTAAAATGAGATCTCATAGCCTAAATGTATGTGATTAAAGAGATAGTTCGGAGATACATTATTTTGGGGGAATTTTACTTTTACTGCCTTAGGACAGACCTTTTTATATATTTGGTGTAGGGATGAAGTGGTTACCGGTTTAATGATAAACCACGGTAAAATTCCTGGCATTTAGTATTATTGTTTCAAATTGAATTCAAACTGTTGAATTATCATTAAAACCATGTTTGATTAACTCTCTTTGAAAACCTCATGGTAAATACTGTCCAGCCTCAACCAAAGTTAACAACGGTCTCCCAGACATATGCGATGAAATGAAGTCAGTGACAGTGCTCTGGAGATTTTTCAGCCTGTCTGAAGTGTGGTCATATTTTGCTTTTTATAAGAAATGAGTGCTGAGGGAAACTTAATAGAAGAAAATTGCGTTATAATGAATGCAAAGTCAGTTAACTTTCAGCTCAATGCATGATGCTGGGACTTCAGAATGAAGGACTCCTTTACAAGACTATATCTGACTGTATTTGTTAAAATTGTTCATGGTGTCACCGCATATACTTTATAAAATCTTTAATGTTAATGCACATTTGATATCGTTTACGATATTGGCTGTTTTAATGTTTATTCAAACAAGTAATTTAATTTAATCCACTCACTCCAACAGTCGTCTCTCACTTGCCCTTCTTGCACTTTTTCTCTCATGGCGAGTAGTGAACTGCAGGTTAAAAGTGTTAGAGTTACTTTAGCAGGGTTAAGAGGCACTATTGTCAGGTGGGATGGATGATTGGTGAAGAGTGAACAGGGTCTCTGTATGTCATCTGCCTCTTGAGATTGTATCTTCAGTTGTGAATCCTGCCAGCGGCTATGCTTACATATGTTCCCTGATTCTACCATCATCACACAGAGAGGTTCCTGTTCCTATTGGCATGAGGCATGTATTATGAGGCTGCATTTACTAGCACTTGTGGTAATTATGGTACAAAAAATGTTACTTGGTATTTACCTGGCCCGCTAACAACTTTGTTTTTAGTTTTGTGAATTATCTTATCAGTCGTATCCCATTATGATCTAAAAGCATATGGCCATAGTCATATCCAAAGGTAAATTTGTCTAGACAGCAAAGCACTACAGGTACATTATTGGAAATAACCCAGTTTATCTGATTAAAAGAGTTCTGTACTTCCTGCCGACCAGTGCAGGGTGGTCACCGTACAGTCAAGAACATCAGTACTGGAGGCTGCTCTGCTACAGGAAGGCACAGTGGGTGGTTTCCCTCTTTCTGTCACACTCTCTGTCCCTCTCTGTGGTTTGTTTTCCTTCATGTCCCCAGCTTGACTGTTATGCTATCCTACGTTATGCCTTGCATCCAGATTATTCACATTAATTTACTGGTAGTCCTGGGCTGTACAATGTGCAGCCTCTGCCTTCAGTTGTTTAATATTTCTAGATGAAAATAAAATTGCTTGCTTTAAGAGCCAAGTAGCCACACGAAATACACTTTAAATTTTTATTTAACCTGGTGTGGATTTCAGAAAAATAAAATGTTAATGATAATTTTGGTAACCCTGATCAAGTTCTCTGCTTGAATTAAATGTGATTTAGAGCCGCTGGTGTTTCTGGGTCTGTAGAGTTTATGTTTTTGGTCTGGCCATATATCATATTTTCTCCTCAAAAAAAACTGTTTTGCAGCTTCTCTTGTATTTGTGTAGTACAGCCAGAATATGAATCCAAGTGGTATGAGGACAGGATGGAGTGCAGATAAGGGATCCCTTAAATTGGTAGGGGAAGGCATATTCAAGATTATTCTGAGGGAAGAGTGAGTGGGGGTGGGGCATGATCAAATGGACAGAGGAAAAAACAGGAAGGGGGGTGGGGTGTTAAAGGTGTAACAGAGAGGAGAGAGCAAGGACCTCAAGCTATTGATGGGGAAAGAGGGGAGGGGTGGAATGAGCAAGCGCGTAGGAGGGAGGGAGGGAGGGAGGGAGGGGTGTGTGGGCTGAGGCTCCCTTGAATGAGGAAGCAGCAGAGCCATTTTTACTGTTGAGTAACTGCATGCTGGTCTGCCTGTGCTAGAGAGAGGGTGAGAGAGCGAGCGAGAGGAATAAAGTGTTCCTCCTGGATCTTATCGAGCCCTCTCTCCCTTCTCTCCTTGTTCACCTCTTGCTTGCGGCTTGTGTCCATGTAAGTTGGGGAGAGGACACACAATGGAGCGAAGAGCCTGTGGCAACTGGGCCGTTGTACTGCTGAGAGGGGGATGGGGTAGAGAGAGGACCGGTTCACACAGCTAAACAGCCTGCCGGCTGTAGGCTTCCACGGCCTTTCCTCCCTGCCTGGAACCACTGTTGCCAGGCTGGGGCTTTTTTTGTAGAACAAACTTCACTTGGACTACACTAAGGATTACTACTGTGTTCTGTGGGATTTTAGGATACCTGAAGAATTGATCTCTCCTGTGTTTTGGATGAGGAGAAAGGAAACAAACTTCTGTGTAATTTTTTTGTGACCGTTTTTGGTTTCTGTTTCTGTTTAGTGGAGTTTATAAATGGATTACAAGATGCATGCCAAGTCAAACGATTTGCTGGATTTTCAAAAACTGGACGCCCTTCTGGAAAAAATTGCACATTCCGTCTCTGTGAAAAGGTAATGTTATCTGGGGAAGTACATTCACCTACAGAGTTTTCATATTTAACGCTGTCACTGAAGTCTTCATACATACGGTATACAAAATATTATCAATTGAAATACAAAGCTGAAGAGAAGGCTAAATTTATTTCAGCCTAGAGTAATGATTCTTAGGAAAATCATGTGGTTAGCACTATCTGTAGCTTCACATGGCCCAGGGCGCAACAGTCCAGTTTAGATGTCTTCAGTGTTGCGTTGAGAGTAGTATTGTTATCCAGATTTTATCTAGAATCCATGAACCTACCTCCTGGTGAGAAGGGGTTGTGGGGGAAGGGGGACTATAGAGGAAGAAGGGGGGTGTGTGTGTGTGTGTGTGTGTGTGTGTCAGCAGTAAAAATGTCTCCTTATTCCTGGTAGGGTTTGGCTTGCTTATCCTAACCAGCTGGAAGTTTAACCTGAAAGAGCTGGCATGCTTCTCGCCTTTTCCTGTTAGATTGTGCCTGACTCATGGCTAGTCTATTTGAGTCAGTTTGTGTGCTCATGCACTGACTCATACAATAAGTGCTGGTAAATAATGCTAGGGGAACTTCTTTAAGTTCGGACCTTCCGATGAATTATTGGAAACAATGATTCTTGTTAGATTTGATCATTTCTGGTTTCTATACCAATAAGACAGATAAACAAAGCTGTCCACATTTTTCTCTTACGTTTGTCTCTAACCATATTCACGTAGCACAGGTTATGGATGTTTACTATTGAATTGATAAGCCCAAAAGTAGGATTTTTGAACCATCGAGAATAAAAATACAGTATGCTGGTCAACAAGCTGCGTGTTACCATAGAAACCTTGGCAAAATTTGTTTTCCTTGAAGCCAAGTTTCAGAGGTACTCAAATAAGGTAGCAACAGGCCAATAGCACATGATACAACGTGGACCAAGTGAGAATAGTTAACTCTGCTACGTAATTCATGTGCCTTGGAATTATTACCTGTGTGTACTGGCAGTATTCAGCCACAACTTCACAATTTTGAGAAAATTTGGGAGCTTATTATTAAACTAAAAGGTACTATTACACACACTGAAACCATTTCACCAAGTTTTATATTAAAAACCACACATCAAACCAGCAGCACTGGGCACTTTTGTCTGCATAAACAATAATAACATACAATTCCTTATGTAAGCATTTGAAAACCATATCAAATGTGCATTGACATTAAAGATGTTATAAAGTATATGCAATGACTTAATGCACAATTTATGTAAGAGTCTATAGCGGCAGTATTTACTGTGAGATTTTCAAAGCATCGTTATCGAACACAGTTTTAATGGTAATTCAAATTTGAAATGGTAATACTAACTGTTGGGAATTCTATTGAGGTTTATCATTAAACCGCTAACTGTTATTGTTATTTTAGCAGCACAAGTAAATTGGATATTTGAATAATAAATGTGATTAAAGCTGTCTTATTTTAGGTTTTAAATCAATGAAATAATGACAGTGTCTCTCCTAGGATGGAGTTGTAGCAGCGGAGGTGAAGCAAACCTTTTGTCTGAATAAAAAAAACCCAACACAACATGTCTCAGCAACATTGCTCTTGTGTCCATGAGCATGCGATGCACATGTTTTCCCATAGTTTAATGTGAGCTTTAGATTAATGTTTTGGTGTTTGTCATGGTCGGGAGGTTTGGGGGTTCTCCCCCAAGAAAATCTTACGTTTTCCAATGACAAATATGTAATTTCACATCATATTGGGCCATTATTTTCACCATATCTCTGAACAAATAGTTGGAAAAGCTAGAGCAGATAATAAATAACAAACACCCAAAGATCAGTCTACTGGGGAGGAACTACAACCATTAGATTTGTGGAAAGTAATTTGGTTGGTTATGATTCTCTCCACAGAATACGACTGTTCATGTTTGCCTTTTGTGTATTCATTTTACAGACTTTGACATTTATCTGTATAGACATTAATAAAAAAAAAAAGAGAGAAAAATGAGAAACCTCCTCCCTTCTGAGGTGCATTTTATTTGTACATCAAAATCCAAAATGAAACGTCTCCTCATTAGCTTAAAAGGACTAGTTTGCATCATTTGCTTTACTAAGCTCAACTCCTCTACAGTCACCACCATCCTTTCCCTTCCCAACAACCGCTTTTTCAGACTCGCCTGAAAAGTGAAAAATAATTGAATCAGTCTGTGTACAGGACAGAGCTGTAGGCTACGCCAGTTTACTCTGTTTGTAACTGATGTTCTCAACATTGGACAAGTAGGCAGTAATAAAATACATGTACCAGTTACTTTCTATAAATTGAGTTAATGTTCAGTTACATAGCAGCCAAAAGACACGGCCTAGGCTACTGTATAAGCTTTCCTGCTTAGCTGCGCAGTCTGAAGGGGAGGGGAGATGTTTGCTAGCGCTAACAGGCTTCACTTTTCCAGCAGGTGGGAAAACAACACACAAACATTTCTTGGTCTTGAAAAGCTGACACACTGTTACAGACACAGTACATTTACTGCCAGAATATTTTCCCCCACTCGCATTCACCATCACTTTCTGCCACTCGTCCAATCAAACACGCGCTATGTACTTCCCGATTCCTTACAGGAGTTACGCTGCTCTTATAACACCATCTGTCACGTAGATGTTCTGCATAGAACGAGGAGAAGAAGCTAGCCAAGCATTGGGTGTTGCCATGCTCGCACAGTGTGCAAGTGAAAATGATCGTGGGAAATTTTAGTAGTGGCAGTCATGATTCAGCAGCGCCACACTGCCGCTCCGGAATGCATATAGGGGAAACACTGAATGATGTCAAAATTACCGCTCCTGCCCGGCCTGTCATTATTCACCAACTAGATGGAAAAAGATGAAATGAAATTCTTGGCACCTATTTTGGAGAGCAGAAAATGCCTTGGCACACTACAGTCGGCTTTTAGATGCCATCGGATCGTAGTTTGAGCTGTCTGGTGGCTGACCGTTGCCCATCAAGTTTTGGTGTGTGTTACATTGGCACTAGTGTTGAAAAAGTGGTTTAAAAGACAGCTCTCTGGCTGTAAAGCCCACTGAATCAGTGATTTCACCCATTTAGTGCCATGAGTCATCATTTTTTCATCTCAGTCTCTTTTCTTTGTACAGAGCACAGGCTGATAATGGCACTACAAAGAAAAACACGGCATTTTATCTTGGTGTACCTGTCATATGGAAAAGGTTGTGGTGTGCCCTCATCACAGGTTCTGATCACTGTTATTTATGCTTGGCTCAGTGCAGTTATTTGATGAAAACATTTTTGTAATTGATGTCCCAGGGAAGCATGATAAGCATTGCTTCAACTTTGTTGAACAATGGTAGTTTCCTCAAATTCCTAATGGTGATCAATCAATCATCATTAAACTATATCTTAGGGATTATCTTTATCTCCTCCTTTGTTACTAGTCTACCTTTAATAAGGAAATTCAGCCAGGGTTAATGTCCTTTGCCTGTATTAACCTTATTGGTGTGCTTCAGGAGAAAGTGTCCTCCAGTATTTTTACATCTAGACCCATTCTTTGAATCACCCTTCCTATTGGAACTGAATGAGCCCAGAACCCATTTGAGTTCATAAAAGTCTAGAGAAGAAGAAAAATATATATAAACATTTAAGACATGCGTGCAAATAGACCAACAAATAAGAGTATCAGTTGAATCAATACATTGCTGTGTACTGGCAGATACAGTAACGTTAGAGTGGAGCTGCTCCCTGGAGAAGGTTTGATGGGTGTTTTATGAAAGAGTGAAACGGCTGGTGAATAAGTAGGGAATGGTGTTCTTGGCCTTGTCACTGTGGTCCCATGAATTATTTATTATTTTGCTTTCAAGCAAAAGTGGAATCGGCAGGCCTACATTTTTGCCTGAATTCAATCACCACCCACATACATGAATGATTAATAGTTTACTTTCATGGGGGATGCAGACATCATGCTGTTATGTTTTTCTCCCCCTCCTATGTTGGACAGTCAGTGTGATGCTGTACACAGGACTAGACTTCCTTGTGTGAGACGTGCATCCCCCACCCCAGTAATCAGAGCCACCTCTTCCCAGAAAACATTCCACAGCAGCTGCAGTGATGTATGTCCAGGTCAAAGGTCAACTGTTATTCCAGAGCCAAGAGCGATGCAAGACATGCAGCAACAGGAAGTGGACCTCTTGATTGACCTGTGTTGAGGGCTTCTGCAGACTTGATTAGTCTCAATGACAACATTGCTCTTACACCAGGACAGCAAGTTGTTGAAGGTGGTTTATACTGATTTATCACATTGACTGGTTGAATATGTCACTATTGACATCAACATCAAGTATAACTCTAGGTTAAAATGAAAACAAATACATTGTGTTTATTGCTGAAACAATTAGTCAATTCATCAGTTGATTGACAGAAAATCACACTATTTTCTTTTTGATAGACTAAACAATTAACTTATTCTTTGAAAAAAATAACTGACAGATTAATCGATGCTGAATAATTTTTGCTGTTTGTGTAAATATTAGGATTATGGGTGGTGTAGTCTCATTTATTTACTAATAAAGAGAACCACAAAAAACACAGGCTCAGCATAGTTCATCGGTTGTACTATTTTAAATTGCAAAAAACAATCATTTAGCAGCATAATCCTTATTGATTCTTGAGATGCAGTGGTAATGCAAACAAAAATGCACCAAAGAAGCTTTTAGCTCTTGAGTACATTCCTAAAGATGAGGATTGTTGCTCCCTGGAACTGTTTGGGTGAAAGTGCCTAAATTACATTAATGCCTGCAGTAGACTGTCCTTACATAAAACCTGTCTCTTTTTATGACTGGGAAATTGTTTGCTCCTACATTTTTTCACAAATGGCTTTTTTATGCATAAAGACCAGTGCGTTCACATGTTTGTACATATGTACTACTGTCAGCGTGGCACCACAAGATAGACTGCAGAGAAGTCTCACAAAGTGGAAACCCAGTGAGTAGGTGTGTGCGATATACAAAGTCTGAGATAATC